ATATATATATATATATATATATATATATATATATATTATGTATATGACAGCTATCGGTATAAGATGTTATACGTGAATAAAAGCAATTTATACTTTTACATCATATGACATTTAGTTGTTACTATTACATGTGTTTGTTAACTTTTGTTATATAAGATTTCTTACACTCAAGTCTAGAAACTAAACGTATTATATATATAATTCACTACTACTTTAACTCGTCATATTTACATTAATACAGTCTAAAGTACTAGTAAGGACAACCAAAATATATGGTTTTCTCAAAATGTTTTTAAGGTATAGACTGCAATTTGTCATTGGGTATGCATGCATATGAATTTTGTTGGTATTAGTGAATTTTGTGAGCAGTGTGCAGGAACTTCCAGCAGTGGATATGTTTGTGACAACAGCAGACCCTGTTCTTGAACCACCTATTATCACAGTGAACACTGTGTTGTCTCTGTTAGCACTTGATTACCCACCTCAGAAGCTTGCTTGTTATGTCTCTGACGATGGTTGTTCACCCCTAACCTTTTACGCTCTTCAAGAAGCCTCCAAATTTGCAAAGTTTTGGGTACCATTCTGTAAGAAGTATGATGTGCAAGTTAGAGCTCCCTTCAGATACTTCTCTGTCAAACCAGAATTCTCAACAGCCAGTAACACACCAGAATTCAAACAAGAATGTTTACAGATGAAGGTGATTATTCCATGATTATTTTAAATTTTTTCTCCTGTAAAAGTTACATTAAAATTATATTTTAAGCTTTATGGGAAAGATATCGCATAAATTTAGCATAATATATATAATTATTATCCATATCAAATATCATTTTATAAAGACTTTATAAAAGAAGAAATGTTCTTTCCAATATTTTATATGAGAATNTTAGATGAATTTGGGGAAAAGTTACCTCCTTTGCATATAAGAAAGGCTTTTATGTCTCGGTCCCTCTTGCCCCGAGGCTGTAAAGGCTTGTATGCCTCGGTCTTCCTGCCAACCGAGTCAGTATCTCTGCTACCACCAGAAAAAAGACTTAATTAATATAATATTTGTGGGGTTTATGCTTCGGTTCACCCTTATAACCGAGACAGTATTTCCTTTAGACCTCGGTTACTTGACAACCGAGGCATATAGTTCTCTAAATATTACGAAACTGCCACCGTATTTTTATACGCTTCGGTTTTGTTGGAATCGAAGTGTAATATTCGAGTTAAAATTACGATTTTTTACTAGTGTAACAATAAACCATCCAATGATTGAGCTGGCTGGTGCCAAAATAACAACAAAGAACCGTTTAGGGCCGGCCGGTAAATGTTAATGTTAACTGTCAATTCTTGTCTGTTTAGCACATGACCAATTACAATTTTTTTACGACATTCATTTCTTTATAAATACACCTTCCTTCATTGTCAGCCTATTCACACACACTCAGAGTTCTCTTAACACCTTGGCTCATATCAATGGCCGACCAAAACTCTTTCCCCCTCTATGAGAAACACTGGTACAAGCACACTTATAAAAGGGTAACGGAGAGCTTGCTCTTAGTCCTTCTCTTGTTGCAGCTTGGTTATCGCGTAATCTCTATCAGCAACTACTCATTCCCTTGGTTTCTTGCTTTTGTTTGCGAATCATGGTTCACCATCTCTTGGTTTTTCACCCTCTCCACTCAGTGGAGTCCAGCAGTAATCAAAACCTACCCACAACGTCTCTTACAAAGGTATCCTTTATATTATTCACTCCATTTACTTACAATAGCTAGCTAGCTAGCTATCTGTTTCTTCAATGCCTTGCTAATTATCATCAACTGTTTTATTACTTTCTTTTATAAAGAAAAACCTTAAATTATATCATTAACTGTTGCTATCTCTTTCCACGAGCAACTTTTGCTATTACTGATAAAACATATTTCTGTTCTAACAATCAGATAGGATTTATATATATATANATGCAATGAGGCTCTAACCTAAAAATTTTAAAGAAATAAGAAAACTTGGTTTATAAGTAGAACAAATAATTGTACAATTTAAAGAAAACGTGTGGGTGTTTGTATAAGAGAATTTGATTCCTTCATTAGCATTTATTACAAAAGACGGAGTTCATACCATTGTACTTATTGCAATAGGTTTGGTAAGAATGATTTTATCATTTTGTTGTTGTTTGTGGATGACATGTTGGAGGTAGGCTTCAACAAATCTAGAATGTAGAAATTTAAGGACTTGGAACTGATAAACAAGATTTTAAGGATGCAGATTCACCAAGATAGAAAAGATAGAAAGATTTGGCTTTCTCAGAAATACTTTTTAAAGATATTATGGTGTTTCAACATGCAAGATTGCAAGTCATTTTCTATCTCATTTCCTATAATTGTATGTTATTCTCAAGTATGAGTTCTAGCATTGAAATGAATATGATAAAAATGTTGCGAGTACTGTGTGAATTAGTGGTGGATAGCCTTATGAATATTATGATGTGTATAAGATTAAACATTGCAAAAGCACTAAAAGTGGTTGATAGATTCATCCTGGAGAGCAGTTGAAAAATAAGCAGCATAAATAACAAAGTATGGTATGAAGATTTGATTTATTTAATCAAAATCTTCAAGAGTAAGAGATTCTAAAGGAAAGAAGTCTCACATTGGTAGGAACTTCTAGGAAGCTTTCCTTGCCTCTTATATAAAAAGACCATGCTTCATTAGTTAACCATCTCATTCTTCTCCTTTTTCTTTTTAATTATATTTGAGAGAAAATTCCAATAAAAATATATTAGTTTTCTTCAAAGATTTTTAGTATTTGTTTTTTTCCTTAAAAAAGAGAAAAAAGGATATATAATTTCTTTTATTAATATGAATATTCATTTTTACTTACTGTGGATATATATTTCTTATCTTTATTTTATAGTTGTGTGCTTTTGCAGTTTTTCTTATATATATAGTATATATGTGCTAAAACCCATATAGCCAATGAAAAGTTACTAGAAAACTAGGTACAATATAAGTTAACACTAGTGCAGGAAGAAGAAATAGCACCGGTTATAATTGGTTATAGGCACCGGTTCTCCAAACCGAGGCATAAACAGACGAGGTAAAAAGGGTTAGATTTAATGCCTCAGTTATGAACTGAGATAAAAGTGATAAGATTATGCCTCGAATTTTTTTGTAATCGAGGCCGTAACACTTATTTTTAATTTTTTTAATTTTAGGTAACACAGTTCAAGCAGGAGGATTTGGTGATCGGAGATTGACAAAAATGCAGAGAGTTTCCTTAACAGTAACCCAGAACCCAGAAGAGCAACCCATGACCCAAAACAGCAACCCAGAACAACAACCCGCTACCCAGAACAACAACCCGCTACCCAAAACAACAACCCAGAACCACCGTAACAGCAACCCAGAACCACCATAACAGCAACCCAGAACCCAAATCTNCAACCTCTCTTAAAAAAGTATACTTACACAGAGTTTGTTGATATATGTTAGCTTTTCTTTGGTAGTATGTATCAGTGTTATTTAGGGTAAATAATGTATTTTATATAGTAGTTACATATATCATTTAATTATTTTAATTAATTCAAATACATTAATTTTCATATTTTATAGTCTTGAAATAACATTTTTATTACTCAAAGAGATATATGTACAAAAAACCCTGTGATGTTATATTTCACTCTTAGTTTAAAGGAAATACCACTGCTTACTTTATACTATGAATTTGTAAGGTTATATGGGAGAACAAGGAAGACCTTGAAAATGGGTTACCTCATTTGATCTATATATCTAGAGAGAAGAGGCCAAAACATTCTCATCATTTCAAAGCTGGTGCCATGAATGTATTGGTGAGAAACTCTTTTTTTATTTTCTGATATGGTTAGGTTTCTCTGTATAGTATATTCAGTTTGTGAATTCTTTCTTTAATTACACTCATCTTTTTTCCATTCTTTTCATTACAAACTCATAATCTTTTTGGAAGCTTTAATTCAACTTCCGATTATATTTCAGACAAGAGTCTCTGGGTTGTTAACCAATGCTCCCTTTATGCTGAACGTGGACTGTGACATGATCGTAAATAATCCAAAGATTGTTCATCATGCATTGTGCATTTTACTCGATCCCAAAGGACAAAAAGAAGTTGCATTTGCTCAATGTCCCCAACAATTCTACGCTACACTGAAGGACGATCCTTTTGGAAACCAGATGGCAATTTTGATGAAGGTCATTGGAATTAAATACTAATCTTTACACAAGAAAAAAATAACTCTTTTCAAAATATATATATATATATAAGTTAGGTCAATTTATTACTTCTAAGAAAATCTCTTTCTATATAATGCAGTACATGGCAGCAGGATTAGCTGGGCTGCAAGGGCCTTTCTACGGGGGAACAAACTGCTTCCATAGAAGAAAAGTTATTTATGGTCTTTCTCCAGATTACGTTGACAAGGGTACGTACATGTTACATTGATACGTTCATGTTTTCATGGATTTTCAATTTCTCAAGCTACTGTTATAATTTAGTAGCATGTTCAGTATATAGTATATGTTGTTTTAATCATGTATATATAAAAGTAAATTCAAGTGTGCTTTAAAAACTATAATTAAGAACATTTTTCATGGTTTCCATTGTTTATCTTACGCATTTTTTCAGGAAACAGCATATCAGAGAAGGAATTGAAACAAAAGTTTGGAGCTTCAAAAGAGTTTATGAAGTCAGCTGCTTGTGCATTGGAAGGAAGGACAGATTCACCAAATGCTGTTAATATTGCAAAGGTTATTGAGTCAGCAAGCCAAGTTGCTGGTTGTGGATATGAATATGGCACAGGATGGGGCAAACAGGTATTCAAATAAGAATGAAAAATAAATATATAAAATTTATTTTTATTAAAACTCAATTTATAATACTCATTAACACTAAAATAATTTATCTTTCTTATATATATATTAATGAAATTGAAGCTGAAATTGGTTTGATGGAAATTATAGGTGGGTTGGATATATGGATCAGTAACAGAGGACGTGCTTACTGGACTGACAATCCATGAAAGAGGTTGGAGATCAGAATTTTGTACACCAAACCCAATTGCCTTCACGGGCTTTGCTCCAGGAGGTGGCCCAACTGCAATGGTCCAACAGAAGAGATGGGCCACAGGGTTTCTGGAGATCTTTGTAAGCAAACACTGTCCTATTTTTGGCACCCTTTTTCATAAGCTTACTTTGAGGCAGTGCATAGCATATATGTGGATTCTCAACTGGGGGCTGCGAACAGTGTTTGAAGTATGCTATGCATGTCTTCTTGCGCACTGCATCATCACCAACTCCAATTTATTGCCACAGGTAAACAAACCAAACAACAACATCAACATTTAAACGAAACACAAATCCTAGTTTAGTTTACTTTTGCAAGTGACTAAACACTGTATATTGTGTTTTTGCTTTGAAAACTGCATAAAGCATCTCTTACTAAAGTTAGTATGTTAGAGAAATTGTAGAACCGATTGTGTTTTAGTTACTTCTATTTGTATATGCATCATACCTATACTTTTCTTTATAATATGATATTAATATCAATGTCTGAAAATGGTTAATGTAATTAGTAATAATTTAAGGAGAGATTAACACAAATTTTTACTTATTAGAGTCTAAATTTGTTTGCGCATAATGATACAACATATATTTTATTTTGGTTTGATGCAATTCGAAAGGTCAAACTTTAAAGAAAATTTTTAAATAACAACTAATTTTAGTAATAAAAATATGTTTAGAGGTATTGAGAAATTATTTTTTAAAATTTTTTTATAGTAAAAACCTTGATAGTAGCTAATGTTAGTTACTAATTTAGAGACTAATTCGTCATAAAAACTATTTTAGTTATCAATTTAGAAACTAATTGTTGAAACTATT